GGGCCCCCGGGCAGGCCCCCTCCGAGCGGGGCAGCGGCCTTCAGGCCTCCGGAGCCGGACGCTGAAGGAGCAGCGATAGAGCGGTTGGTCCTGCAAAAACTTAACTATGTGTGCGGGACGGCTGGCTTTAATCAAGACGGGTCTTTATAATGGGGGCCTGATTAGGGTTAATTAAATAAAATAATAGTTATGAGGCAAAGAATAATTTTTTTTAGAAGTAGAATGAGTTAACCAGGACTGATAGCATGTAATTAATATAACCCCCCTTCCCTCCTGGTTTAACTATTTTTACTGTAGTTTGCTGCAGAGCACAGCGCACGTCAAGCCTTTCTGAAATTAAAAACCCTAATTGCCTCTGAAGCGTGTCAAGACAGCGGCTGCACAACGTTTTGTCGTGGCACGGTAACAGTCATGGTTCTTGAGTGCGGCGTTGGTGTGCCAACTCAGCTTTGGTTTTGTTCTTGTTCAGGCTTCGTGTGTGCAGTACCGTCTGGTGGTTCGGGATGTGAGTACCCTCCAGATCCTCCAGCTGTACACTTGCCTGGATCAGATCCAGTATATAGAATGGTCGTCTGATTCTCTGTTTGTATTGTGTGCCATGTACAAGCGAGGGATTGTTCAGGTAAGGACAAAAGCAGGGCAGAGTATGTTTCATATTGGGGATTCATGTGTGGTACAAGACCTTCTTAATGGCAAGCACTAGTTCAATGCTTTTGCTAAAATAATTGTTATTGATAATACATGGTTTGAGGATAACCCAGCATGCTATTATTTCTAAAACCATGAAAAACATCTTAGTTTGAAAAAAAACAGAATAAAAATATTTTTCAAAACAAATCAAAGCTGGAAATTATCTTACAGTTTCTTAGTTCAGAAGGAAATAAATACATGCAAACTTGTTCAATGGACTAAAACTTTTTTTTTTTTTGTGTTGGATGTTCAGAGTATTTGTCACAGGAAAAAAAAACAAACCCACCTTACTTTACAATTTGTATTAACACACAGAGGTGTGGGGCTTACTTTTGTAGTGGGATCCAGCGCCAGTCCTTCATGGCCACAGGCTTTCAGAGGTTTCCTGACCTCCCTGGTATGCAATGCAGGAACCTTTTCTCAGCTGTAGAGTATTCTCGTAAGCAGAGGTTTCGATGAGCTGTTTGTTTGGTGCACTGTCTGTTTGGTTTCCTCTCTGACCTAGGTCTGGTCCTTGGAGCAGCCGGACTGGCACTGTAAGATAGACGAGGGGTCAGCAGGATTGGTGGCTTCATGCTGGAGTCCGGATGGTCGTCACATTCTCAATACAACTGAGTTCCATGTAAGTGTGAAGTCATGATTACTCTCGACGGTGTCAGATGTTACTGTCTGCCCTTTGCCTCTTAAAATAACCTAAAGCTCTTAAAGCTGTAGTGGTGGTAAAGAATGCGGATATAGTCTTCCTATATTCATATATGTAATTCTCCTATATTCTTATATGTAATATAGGTTAATTCTGGTTTAGATGTTAGTTACTCTGTTAACGTTTTATCCTCTTGCCTCTGATGATAAGATAGAAAATGGACACTTAGCTTTGAAGGTAAAATTATGTGTTTGAGAAAAGTGTAGGGATAACTGGCATTCATTGAAGCAATTTTAGAAATCAAATGTGTTGTAGCTCAGGGAAGGCTCAGGGTTTCTAGCAAAAAAAAAAAAAAACCAAACCATAAACATGTAAGAGTGGCTATGGAATTAAAAAAATATGGTCTTAGGTTTATTGACCTATGAGATGAGATTTAGATCCAGATCCTGGAAATACTTTCATAATTGTTTGATTTTACACATAGAAGTCAGACTGCTGTTGATAGAACCACTTGCAAAATTAAAATTAAAACATCTCTAAGTGCTTATTGATCAAGAGCCATATTCTGGAATCCACACTAACACAGAATCCAAATCAGTTTGTGGATGCTGGGCACTGGGCTTGTTGGAAGGCATGTGGAAATCTGACTGTCCACCTTTATAGTCTTTGGATTAGAGCTGATGATTCATGTTATTCAGTACAATGATGAACAGTCAGAAAATAGCTAAGAACTATATGCAACTCATCTTTCTCTTTGCTGTATTTAATCTTTCAAAACTGTAGATGGGTTTTAGATGACAGGTTATTGTGTCATAACCCTTGCTAGCACTGAATTAAAATGTTACACTGTAAGATTTTTCCTTTTTTCATGCAAATCCCAATGTAAATGGAATATAGATAGGGGACTTTGTGATCTGTGTGTGCGGACTGGAGTTAGTGCAAATGCTGATACTCTCAAGGGAACCGGTAGAGAAACTTCCCTACAGCTACGGTGTAGTTCCTGACGCACACATGGTGGAATTCTCCAGCAAGGATGTTTGGTGCTGGCAAGGATTTTTAGTGCTGACTGGGTAGAGATTTTCTGGCTATAAAGCAGCCTCTTTCCATTCCCCTATGCTTTAGATAGTGGGTTACGAAAAGTAATGAGTTTAGGCCTTAGTTTTCCCAGGAATGAATCACCCTGATGGAGATTAAAATTAAAAAAAATGAGTCCAGAGTTTCAACCTGAAAAGTAAAGACATGCCTGCCACTCAGGCAGAAGTGTTGTAGTCTGAGTAACCCAAACTGAAGGCTGGTGCTATGTGCTACAAGTGAGCATCTACGAGTGAGCATGGCACGTGCGTGTGGGGGTGGACTAGCAAGAATTTATTGCCTCCCAACAGAACTTGGTTTGACCTTAGAGGATTTCATTAAGCCTCTGCCAAGTTGGCATCTGTGTTGGGATAAGTTTTCTTTCCAGCTGTAAACAGGTTGCTAAATTAGCTTTTGTCAGACAGCTGCCTGGGTTATGCCGATGTCTGAGTTGTGTTTACTCTCTCTATGCTAAATCCATAGTCTGGTGGGACAGACATGAGTAGTGCTCGAGACAGAAACTGTCAGGGACTTAATATTGGTGTATTATGTATGTTATCAAATTCAGCGATTGCTTGGAGGGCTTAAGGGTTCTCTGTCAACCAGTGCAGCTTGGCTTTGGTAGTCTGATGCTTTCAAACAGCACCAACTAATTACTCATAGTTGTAATTCTTCAGGTCAACATGTGAGCTCCACTGTAAGATCACAAATAACTTTCTTATTCCTAGAAATTTTTTAAAGCATCTGGTTCTGCTAATTTATTTCTAGCAATCTATACTTACTAATGCCTCAGAAAAATTACTCATTGGCTAACTTGCAGTCAAGTTCTGTTTGTGGTCAGCATTATAGTGAATAATGTTGTGGGTGTTTTGATGTGACTGGTGTGCAGTTCCTAACTCAAGATGAGTGCGTCAGAATTCTGACACATTTCCAAAATCCATTTTGACTCTGTTCAATCTTTTGAGATGGGCAGCAATGCTCTATATACACTTAACATTAACATAACTCTGCAAATGCGATCATTTTATTGGAGATGAGTCTGTAATAATGTGCAGGTTTTTGGATCCCAGAATTGTTACACAATGTACAGTAATATTGAATGATACAGGTATCTATCTAAATCTTTACACGGTTACTGCAATAAACAGCATGATATACAAGGCAATTAAATGGTACAGTCTTATCGGAGGAAGTATATAGAGACTATCTTTTCACTTGAGAGTGGATTGTTTTTCACAATAATGGATTACTGGCAGATGCAGAGGAATTTACCGTGCTTAATTACAAAAGTGTGTGTAGTAGCTGGTTACTTGCCCCAAAATTTTGAAAGCATCTTTGTGCTGTATGTTTGCTTAAGTGTTACACGTGGAGAGGTCATTCTGTCAGCATCTGGGATGGAAGTCCTGCTGAGATGTAGAAAAGATATAGGCTTGTTCCTTAAACTCCTGCTGTGCTGGATTAGAGGATTTCTTTCTGTTGGGGACTCTCAGCGCTGCAATCCAGACTGGCAAACTGCAAGGTGAGATACACCTTGCTAGGTTTTGCCAGGCAAAAACTAGTTTTACTGGGCAGCTGGATATATTCAAAGGTACTTCCAAACTTGCAAGGCTTTGTTGTCTTTAATTGTCTGCTTATATCTTACAGTTCCACGTAAGAAGTGGTCAGAATAGTTACAACTTGACTTTTCATCACCTTGTTGTTTATACCAAGCTAGAATACAGTTCTGTTAGGAAAAGCAGGGTTTTTTTTTTGGGGGGGGGCGTGGGGGGTGGGGAATGGCGGTACTTTTTTCTCATTTGATTAATCAAGAGCAAATCTAAATTAGTTGGAAAAACGCCTTCTGAAAGCCTGCTACGCAAAGTCTATCTGGAATCTGAAAAAGTTGGAAGACCATGTTGATTATATTGATTCATGCAGTGCACTGGAAAGCAGCTTGTTGTCCCATAGCTATCGTTTGTTACTTGTTTTGTAGTGGGTGTTTCCTCTCCTGGTGAAATCCACCCTGTTTTGTGAGGCAGTTCTGCACTCTTGCGGTGTGTAACACAGCAAGATGATTGCTAGATGATTCCACATCATCAGTTTGTCCTGTGGAAGGTGGTGTACCAGGTATCTCTCCTCTTACAGTGCCATCGTTCCACCCGAATTCATAGGCATATGGAGAGCTTAAACGAGACCTGCAGGGAAAAGATACGGAGAAAGCAAATGGATCCTCTGCTTCCTCATGACTTTCGTGTTTTGTGATGAATAGTTAGAAGATCAGCAGCATTGTTCTTAAGTGTTTCTTTTAAGAGCCATACTTATAAACTATATATATTGTACTTTCTCTAGTTCTGCGTTAGGTACTAAAGCATTAAGGAGCTTCTTTTGAACTGCAGCAGGAGGGGAAAAAAGTGTGTGTTTCTGTGTATATTGGAGCTAATCCTTAGTAACTGTAAATGGCTACATTTGTTGAAAAATGCTTTCTGTCGAGGAATGTGCTCTGAATAATCTTCTGAAATCCGGTGCTGACAGACACTGCTATGTAAGGAGGCCTTGTGACCCAGTCAAGTCTGGGACAAAAGTTGACAGTCATTTGAGATGCAAGGTTGTTTAAAAGTGTGTTTTTATCTATTGAAAATCACCAGTCTTACACCTGCCTATAGCTGTCAACATTGGGACGTAGGCCTGAACCCAGCACTGGAGACTGTTTATCACGTTACCATCTAAATACCTTTTATTTCTCAGCTGTTTTTAGGCTATTTTAAAAATGCTTCTGCTTTTGGTTTGTTTTTCCACTGCAAAACAACAGCTGAAAACTTCTCAGACACCATTATCATTAGCATTTGAGTTTGACAACTCCACTTAATCGAGTCATCTATGCTAAAGAGAAAGTACCCCTCAAAATGACCAGTGAAGAAGTGGTTGCTGCAGACTTAATTCACCACGATCTATTCTCCTGTTGTAAAAGCAATTGCCCCTTCCCCACAAAGTCTCTGAGAAAAGCAAATAAAAGCAATGCAATTAATTGTAATTTTTGAAGTGTTTGGTTTGCTTTTTTCACCCTCTCTGCATTTTATGTTTCTGTCTCTCATAATCATCTCTGCTAGCTGTGGAATAATCTTTCTCGGGCTAGTTTATGTTGGCAGCTTGGGCAAGATTGTGGGATAATGTTTCAGTTCCAATTGGGAATATGAAGGTTCTCCCTTTGACACAATTTAATTTTACACATATTGTTAATTGATGTAAGATAGGTGTGAAGTCCGTATGTTAAGCACATAATGTAACTTTCTCAGTTTATAAAAACATTTGAGTGTACACAAATAGAACAACTGAAAAGAATCCTAATTTCGGGAATCAAAATGATTTGCTTTTACGTGTTTCTAACACTAGGCCAAAACCTTCAGGTTATGTGTTGTGTGACTTGGGCAAGAGGTTGCAATGAAGTTACGGCAGCGCATATACGTGGTCTTTGACTTGCAGTAGTGTGCTTCTCTTACTAGCTTGCAGCCTTTCCAGGAGAGAGATGCTGAAGTTGAATAGAGAATCTTATTAGTTATGGGTGTGTTATGACTGATTTAGATCAAGTCCGAAGATGAAGTGCTTTGGTTATTCAAGGGTTGTAGGCATCCAGTATAATAATAGGTCTTTGGTTTTGAAAGTGTATTTTTGTGGGGGTTTTTTGGTAGGCTGGGTGTAAACATCCCATGAGTGCGTGTTGGTTGTGTTCTGTAGTCTCTCCCCAGTACTGCAATGCCATTATTGCAATTTATGCCGTACATGCTAGAAATGATGTGTTGGGGAGGTATATATAGGCACTACTCCAACAATATCGGTGTTTAATGTTACTGAAACTTTTGGTTTTGGTGAAGTGCTCAGCAGTTAAGTGCCACATGACAAGAATGAACAGGGAAACAATTATTAGTGTCTTCTCTGGGGAGTTACAAAACGACCCTTTTAGAGAAGGTTCTGTCTGAACAGCAAAGAGAGGACTGCACCCAAGGATGAAGCAGAGATGGACGCAGAAAGACTTTTCAAAATGGAGGTGTCCTTGCCTCTTCTCTTCTGCAGTGGAGTCTCAGGCAAGGCAGAGGTGACAGTGATGTGCTGTTTCTCACCTCTAGAGATTTTCCTCTTCTGATGTTCTTGAGCTTGATGTGCACAGTAAGGTTTTGCCTTGTTCTGAGGCCCTGAGCCAGCCGATGTGGTCCAGGGTAGAAGTGCGTTTGATGCACAGCAGGCCAGGTGAGTTGATTGTGAGGCCGAGTAGCAGCACAAATGTAAAATTGGATGCCTTTGTCAGGAAAAATTACGATCCAGACTTCAGCATTCAAAGCTTGCAGCTGCTAAGCTTGTATTAAGTGGCTGTAGAATGCGTGTTGTGTATGCTGCATGTTTTGGTCAAGGGAGGAACAGCAGCAAGTACATTTAACACTGCAATTAATAGGAGCAAGCAGCATATCACTATTGCAGTTGCTATAGAAGAATGTGAGTAGGCATTGTGTTGGTATTTTTAAAGTAAATCTTGTATGAAGAGCGGACTAACAATGTTGTATTTTTGTATGTTCGGAAGTGAGCAGTTGCAGTGATAAAACTTGATTAATGTTGTTCATCTAGTGGATTCCTCTAGGACCTGCTAAACTTAAAGCTGGTACTAGAGATGTCTAGTTGTAATTTCATACCTGTAAAATAAAGGAAGAGAACAATAAACACTGCATTAAATAGCGGTCCAATGCCTTTTTTTAACTTTGGATAGAAGTGGACTGGAATCTGGTCTGGTTGTGCTCTTTCCTGTAATAAATTAAAAAAAAAAAAAACTGATTTCTGTGTTGCCCTTCAAATCTCGAAGTTTTCTTCTGTGTATAAAAAGCAGTAGGGAGAACAGCTAATGCTGCTCTTTTGTTTTGGGACTCCACGTATCTCTAGAGGGAGGCAGCATTTATTAGGATTCTGTAACTTGGTTTGAACACCGTGTCAATTACTTGAATTGTGCTTTCTAGCAAAAATGATAATGTCAGCAATGAAAAAAGCCCTCCAAGTTCTGTTGCAATGCACAGTCTGTAGTGTTGCCAGGTAGAACAGATACATAGGATGCTGCCTTGGAGTCCTTTGTCACCATTGAATAGTACCAATTACTTCAGGGAGGAAAATGTGCATTGAGGAAAAACATGCAAAAAAGTGTAGCAGAAACTTCCTCCCAAGACTGCTGGTGATGCTGATGGCCTGCGTCTGATGCAGGAAGAGATGAGATGGTAGACAGTGCTGAGGTTTTACTTATATAATGAATCAGAACTGATTTTGTTCTTCGGTAGTTCTGGGAAAGGTAGCTTTATGACCATGGTGCTTTATTCCAAAATAGTTTTGCCTGCGTCGTCTTTTAGAATCTCCTACCTTGGTGCAATAAAATGTGTAGGAAAACAGAAGAAAAAAATTACACTGGAAACATTCCTCACTCCAGATATAAATGCAAAGGTTCACATGACATACTGATTAATGCACATATGTCTGGTGTGGCTGTCGTTGCTAAGGGAGAGTAAGTATTTGTTTTTAATTGAATAATCTGCAGATGGCAACGCAGAGCTTCCAGAATGCAGGCTGTGACCTTGAAGAGCAGTGGAGAGGCTTGTTTTGCAGCTGGCTGCCTTCTCTGCAGTTTTTGTGTTTTATGGATGCACAAGCCTCCAGAAATACCCCAAATGAGATGCTTAATGCCTTGCTTTGCATACTGTATTTTGGTTCTTTTCCAGTTCTTTCAGTGATTACATAATGTTGCTTTCTTGTGGGTGGCTGAGAAGGGAAGAGCAAAATGGAAATTAGCTGTCAAAGCTGAGTGTGTCTAAAAGTTGAAAAATACAGCTAAATTTTCATATTTAGTAGCCTTGTCCCAAGAGATACAGCATTCTTTAGCTGCTGTAAGGTCTCATCCATTCACAAATGCAAGAAACTTCTCATCTCTCTTCCAGAGTCTGTGATGAAACTGTGTTTTTCCAACTGAAAAGTGTCTGTGTACAATATGCTGGCCATCATGTAGCTAGATTCATGCTCTAATATCAGTAACTTTAATGTTAATGAAGAGCTTTTCTCCATATTGGTGTTCTGCATCTCAGACTCCTCTATAGTATACGGTGTGCCTGTAATGTTGATTTGGAATAAGTAACCTTGCTAACTGAAGGCAGTTGGGAGACAATTCCTTGCAGTTACTTCTTAGGGCTTTGTGTTTGAGCTACATAGAATAGCTGCAAAGTTAAATTAACCACAGAAGGTATTTTGATCTACTTTGTGTTCTTGAATTAGGTTTATGGGTTTCTATTTACTTACTTTTTTATCTACAAAAATAAACAAATACTTCCATGTCTCTTTCTCTTTGTGACAGCTGCGGATAACCGTGTGGTCCTTGTGTACAAAATCTGTGTCTTACATAAAGTATCCCAAAGCTTGTCAGCAGGGTAAGTGTCACAAGTCTAACAATGGAATGATATTTTTTAATATGGCAGAAAGGGGAAAACGAATTTGATGTGTAGTGATGAAACGTGTTTCAGAACAGGCTCTGGCACCCTCCCTGCTGAGGGGTTAGCTTGCCCTCAGGAATGCAGGTCTCACCTGCTGCAGGTGCACTAAGGTCTGCTCTGGGGTTGTCATGTTCCCACTGTGAATGAAGGATTACATCTGATCTACGTGCCTGTTCTTCAAATATGTATCTTTCTGTTGTGTTCGCCTCTGAAGGGTCCTTTAAGACATTAAATTAAGCTGGATGCATTGGTGATGAAAAACACTAATCCAAAGTGGCTTTTGTCATCTTTTACACGTGAAAAGATTTGAAAGGGAAGCTCATGTCAGGACTGTCTAGCCACATGACTGTGATTAGCAGTTTCCTGCCTGAGGCTTGTATATAGTAATATCCCATATATGACAAAGACAATTATGTATTACATATAAAATAAGAGTGGATGGGGACCACTGGAAGACAGTGGAGTACCAATGGTTGCATAACTAATTCATTTAACTAGACTAAATGAACTGTTTATTTGAAATCTGTGGTTTTTATATAACAACTGTCAGTAATCAAATGTGTTTTTTTGAAGCATGCTGAAGTTCTGCAATAACTGTGAAGCTGCATCCTTAGAAATAGTATATTCAAAGTTTAAGAATTGCCAACACAAGTAAATTAGTAAAACTATGCATTCCCTTGATTAATGTGATCTTCTGTGAAGATATTTTTCCTTCTCTTTTTACTTCTCCTTTGAATTGGGAGTAACTGCTTTTCATTGAAGAATCGTCAGCTGTTCTGTCTTGTTTTCTCTCTCTTTTTTTATTTTTAAACTTTGTCTCATTGGCAGGGATAGCTTTCACTAAGGATGGCCGCTACATGGCAGTAGCAGAAAGACGTGACTGCAAGGACTTCATTAGCATCTTTGTATGCAGCGACTGGCAGCTACTGAGGGTAAGATATGTCCTTGCCTTCCATGGCTTCTGCCTAGACTACAAGCATATGTTGCACACTACTTTAGACTCGGTCACTTTGGTAGTCTGGTTTTAGCCTTGCCAATGCATTTTCTATCCAGCATCTGGCTCCTTTATTGGCCTGCAGGCATACTTCTGTAGCAATGCTCTGTTCAGGAGGCCAATATATACTATATGTGCGTAAAGAATTTCTGATGGAATGCAAAAGTTCACCTTCAAATTCTTGCATGAGCTTATTTACAGTAAACTATGCTACATTAATAATAACGAAAGTATCAAATGCTTGATAAAGTGATCATTTGGAATGTATAATATGAATTGTCATATTTTCTGTTTAACAATGAGACTAGTTTGTGAAGGATGCACACTAGCATGTCTTAGAGGACCAGATGGATCTGAGCAATTAAAACCCATTAATAACTAGTCTGTACGTAGGTTCAGGAATTCTGAGTCTCATTAGAAGCTTATAGCAAAATTTGGGAAATACCACTAAATGCTTGTCATATTGCCAAGCTCTTCCCTAATGATCCTTAACTGGTCTTTCTGAGGCAAAGAATTAGGCTAGCTAAATTTCCTGACTGACTCAGTGTAACTACTTTTATTTTCTTATGAATTGCTGTTCATTTTAAGGTATAGCAACTTTTTGCCTTTTCTGTAAAGGGAAACCAAAGAAATGGTGAATACAGCATACTATTACAAAAGAAAATATTTCTTTTTCTATGCTAGCATGCATTTGTGGTAGCACTTAAAATGATAAAACTGAGGACTATGTTATGTCAGATGCAACAGTATTTGTTAGTATAATATTTCAAATTGTTTTGTTTTTCTCTTTTGGGGGCAGCATTTTGATACTGAAACGCAAGATCTGTTTGGGATTGAATGGGCTCCTAATGGCTGTGTTCTGGCAGTGTGGGATACATGTCTGGAGGTATGAGGAAAAAGCAGATTATTTTCTTGGAGAGTTCAAGCTGGTTTGTAGCTGCCATGTATAAAGCAGTAACTAAAATAACTAGTGTTATAATTTTTTTTCTCTTAAACATAACAAAAGCTGAACTCAAACCGTTTTAAATATTATACTTGTATTGGTAATGGATGTCCTTACAAGTGTATGTCAAATTGTTGTGTAAATCTTTAATGACAGCAAATTATCTTAGTAGCTTTCTTTCTAATTTATCTTGAAAAAAAAAATTGGTTGTAAACATTGCAGAAGCCACTATTGAAATAATGAAAGAATAATGAAAGAATTCTTCTGTGAGACTCTTCTACCATTTTACTTTACGTTGCACTGCACAATAATTTTACAGTTAAGTAAAAGTACTCATCCAAAAAGAGAGCAAGGAATATATAAATTGCTATCCTTTCTGCTCTGAGTAGGTGAACTTCTGGGTATAGAAAAGTGTCCTCCTGTGGCCATAAAGTTATGGGCAGCATGATCAAAACAAATAGCCCTGGGAATGGGCAGGGTTGTAACGTCCCTGATGAGATGGTTTGCAGATGCTGAAGGAGCACAAGTGTCTTCCATAATGGCATGTGCTGCTGATGTTGTTGAAGAGTGTTGGGCTGGATGGGCCATTGTTCAGGCCCAGTGGGGCATTTGTGCTCTTGGGGACAGTGTGGACGTGTTCTGTGAGCACCAACTGAGCCAAACTGGAAGCCTAGAGCCTCTTGTCTCAAGTCACAGATAAGAGACCGTGCCTTTTGTATTTAACGTGCTGTGTTTTAAGCAGGGAGAGTTTGGAAGGAATGGTTTTGCCTGTCTATGGCTTTTAACAATATTGTTAGTCTTCAGAATTAATCTATTTCTGTTTCAGTATAAAATATTGCTGTACTCCCTTGATGGCAGACTGCTATCCACGTATCGGGCTTATGAATGGTCCCTAGGCATAAAATCAATTGCCTGGAGTCCTAGCAGTCAATTTTTGGCAATTGGCAGCTATGATGAAAAGGTAAAAAATAGGTTTATTTTCTCTCTTTTATCTAAACCATTTGTTGAGCTTTGTCATAACAGTTTTGTCTTGCAATGCTTTCTTGAATTAGGTGCGTATCTTGAACCATGTAACTTGGAAGAAGATCACAGAGTTTGAGCATCCAGCAACCATTGTTAACACCAAGACTGTAAGTATGGATCCAAAATCCATTGAATCATTAGCAGCGCTTTGACGCTGCTATTTGTGTCTGAAAGGTGCTGGTAAATACATTTCATTCTGGACACCTTGCTTTTTCCCCTCCTAATGTGTAAATAGGGCTTGGGAAATTGCATGAAAGTTTGGGAATGTAAGAAAGATAGGAATCCTTTCAAGTTCGATGGAATGTGCAGATATGATCCTCTCAGCTTTAGCACTAATAGATTCTCAGATGACTTCTGTCATATGCCAGTGTATTTTGATGTATATGGTAGTTGCATTACCGATTTGGGTATGCAGTTGATGGCAAACTGAGAAACTTAACAGAGAGACTTATACAATTTGTCGGTAGTTGCATTACCGATTTGGGTATGCAGATGATGGCAAACTGAGAAACTTAAGAGAGACTTATACAATTTGTGACTTTAAACAGCATTGGAACTGGGTTGTGATCAGATTACATCTTGTATGTACAAGGTCATCCAGCTCACCTAAAGAGCATTTCCTGTAAACATCTGTCATTTATTTTTATCCTTGCATGCATATATATGCAAAGCCCAACCCAAGATTCTGGGTAGTTGGCAGCAGGCAGAGAGCTGCAGCTTTTGTTTTGAAAATCACAAGCTGTTCTCATCCATCAAGGTAAAAAGAACTCGCAGTGTAGTAGCGCTGTATGGCACTGCAGAGGAAGGATGAGTCTTGCATCTGGACAGATATCCTGTAAGAGTTTACATGTGTAGACTGTAAGTCTGCAATATTTACATGGCTGTGTTGATGCCTCTTAACCAGAAGCAAGGCATGATCCATTAAATGCACCTCAGCAAAACTTCTCACGACTGAAAAATGCCCTTGCTTCCAGATAGGTGTAAAATATGTAATGGAAAACAAATGGAAATAGCTCTGTTAATCTCTACTACACAGACAGGAATTGCAGTTGGTGCATTTTATCCTGGTGCTTGTGTTTGGGAATAATATGTTGTAGGCACACTATTAAAATTTTTTTGCTATTTCCTTCTGCAATGTTGCACTTTGTTTGCATTTATTTACAATAGTATTCGATTAAAGATTCTTTGTTGCAAAAATGAAATCTATGTTTCCATTGTAATGAAGATGATTTACTGTACTGCCAGATTTAGCTCTCAGGAATAACGAATGAGGTGTACTCTGGCAGACTCATTCTTTGTAGACTTCAAGGTTTGTTTATTTGTCACGGGAGTGTTTTCCTGATCATGGTTCCAAACAGCAAATGATTCACTGAGAATGCTGGATTTGGTATTTGCCTACTGAAGCCCTTTCCTCCGCTGATGAACCAGAGGATGCTGAGATGTAATTAATACACGTGAAAATGAGTTAGTGGGATGTGGATGATTTGGTAATAGCCCATGTTCAAGTTCTCCGAGGCCCTTCTGTAGAACTGTCACTTGTTTCTTTGTAGATTGTGTATAAAGAAGTGGAGAAATCCCCATCTGTTGAAACAGAGAGACTTTCTTTCCCTCCAACAAGAGCATTGGCTAGTTCTCTCTTCAGCATGCAAAGTAAATGTAAGCCAAAGTTTACTAAAATGAGACACTTGAGTTTGCCATGTGAAGTCTTTCTATAAATAAACGTTACAGGCGAGCTCTGCCTCTTTGGTATTGGAATGGATCCTCTGGATGCTCTGCTCAAGGCTCCCAAGTTAACTGAAGAGCTCCAAGGGCAGTGAGCACCCTGCTAGAGGGGATGCTGTCTGCATGGTGGTTTGAAGGCAGGTTAAAGACCAGTGGGATATTGTAGAAAAGAACTGTAATTGCTTGGGTGCTGAAATAGGAGCCAGATCTCAGTCTTGGAGTTGCTTGCAAAAGTTGTCTTAACGTTGTGTGGATTTTCTTCTGATTTGTTCAATCTATGCAATGTTACTTCATGAATTAGTTTAACTGTTGCAGATAATTGCTAGAATCACAAGAACTATTGCAATTAAGAATCTTATCATAATGTGTGGCAGTTCCAATAATTAAAAAAAAAAAAATAATCAGAAGGTGTTACAGTCTTGCTGTCTGTTTTAGGATAGTAATTAATCCCTTAGGTATGAGGTTATGTAAAAAAACAGAGCATGAAAAGGGCCATTTGGCTTTTGTCTAAGAAGCTGTAGTCGTAGCAATGCTTTAAACTTGCCTCCAGACAACAGGCTTTGAAATATTAAAGAGATGGCAGACAATGTATGATTAGTATTTTTGGTTTTTTGGTTTTTTTTTACTGTCTCATTGTTTGTGGTACTGTAAATCACCTTTGTTTTGCATTGGTGTTTGTTTGAAATACTAGTTAAAAGGTAGCAGAAAATTTGCTCTCTCCTTTTTTCCATAGTTTAATCTCAGACTTGCCTGGATTTCCAGCCTTTCTTTTTTTGTAGAAGGGCAAGAATAGTAAGCTGCTTATATGAAGATGCAGCATCTTAAAACAATTTAAGTTTTTGATTGGAACATCTTGGAGAAGAGTAAAATATGGTCCTATCACTTCAGAGATGAGGGTTTTTTTAACAGTTGGAATTTAAATATTTTATCCATTCAGGCTTGCTTAGTAAAGTACTTTCATCTCAAATTCCAGATGACATTTCCCAGGTGCCAGTTTCTTTGCAGTATATCAAGCCAGTTGCTGACAGGGCAAATCCCAAAATGGGAATTGGGATGATGGCATTCAGTCCTGATAACTGTTTCCTCGCAACCAAAAATGGTAAGTTCCTTCAGCCCTGTAAAGGGGAAACCTACTAATTGTATGTGGTGTGTTTTCATAAAAGAAATGAGGACAATAATTGGTCAGTTATTTTGCGCTATGAGACGACTTACGGCCCTATTTAAAATCAGCTCTCCATTGTGCAAACATGTAACTACAGAGGAAATTCAGCCTGCATCTTCTAGCGTACATAAAGCATTGTGAGCTGCCAGAACTGCTTATCAGTGCGTTAACTCAGTCTTGGGCTTTGTACTCAATGAAAATAGCATGCTTTTTATTTTCTTCAAATGTATGTGAGCTCACTGTATTAGAAAATGAAATACACAAATCTTTCCTCCTCCGTTTACAGCAAGTGTATCTTGAAAGGCAGAATTCTTCACAGCCTGCAGTAGGGGGGCTTTTGATTACCTCAAATAGTGAAAGTCATGGAATTAAAGTTTAATCTTTCCCTTCAGTGGTCCTGAAGGGCTGTTTAAGTCGGGATGCAAAAGCTGTGGTTCAGCTGCAAAACCCATCAACAGCATCGTAATAATTTGATAAAAGCCAGCGAAGGACTGGAAGACAAACTAAGTCACTTCTTTTATCCTTTTTGCAATATTTCCAAGGCAAAATTGAAGGCATTGCTAGGCAAAACTCTAGTGGTGTTAAACTTGTGGTATACCTACATGGTTTGTGTCGTGTTAGACCTCAATTAATGCCCATTTATTTAAAAAGAAAGTGTGATCTTTTGTATCCTTCAGGTATTTACATGATTACCTTTTCCTTCTCTGACAGATAACATTCCTAACACTGTCTGGATCTGGGACATTCAAAAGCTGAAACTGTTTGTAGTCTTAGAGCAGCTGTGTGCGATCCAATCTTTCCAGTGGGATCCACGACAACCCCGACTTGCTGTATGTACAGGAAATAGCAAACTCTACTTATGGTCCCCAGCTGGCTGTGTGTCAGTGCAGGTTCCAGTGGAAGGTAAGGCTGTCTACAGTAACTTCCACAAGCCATCATCACCTTCTTATTTACAAAATATTTTTCCACTTATAAATCAGTCTGAGCATTATCATGTAAATGGCTCAGATGTGTTCTTGCAGCTTTTTAAAAAACGGGTATTTCTATCTTCAAAAAAGAGGAGTTCATAATGAGACATAGCAAACATGATAAAATATATCAAGGACAGAGCACAGGGGCTAACAGTGATTTAATTGTTGCTTTAATCTTATGGTATGTTGTATTCTTTCTCAAGACTTATATTCACGTCAGTTCATTTACATAGAAGCTGTAGTTGTGCCGAATGCCAAGTGTTGAAATAAAGACTCTGAAATGCCTATAATGTTTTTGAGTATTCTGAAAAACAACGAAACTACTAATGGGGAAAAATGTGCATGGTAAATCTGATGTGGAAAGACAGAAGAACATACATGAACCTGAACTCTAAGTTAGCCTGCATGATGAGAAGTTTTATGGTTGGCAGTAAGTGATACAAGACAATTAGCTGGATCACATAAATGCCTTTCTGCATATTAAAAGGAAAGAAATCGCAAAGATTCAACTTTTTCCTCTCTACACAAGGAGCGGCAATATCATTGGGGTATGCAGCTCTGCACTAGTGAACAATCTTGTGGCATCTATTTGCGTTAAAATGACAAGTCTACAAAATCTATGCTTGTATATGGAGAACAAAGTAACTGTAGGTTTGGG